GCATAGATTTTTACGATTTTATTTCTCCGTTTTCTCCTTAGTTTTAGTTTCGATTGAGAAGATCTTTCAAACACTCATCAAACAGTGTTTGACCACATTTCCAAACACCTCGAAGTTCATCAAAAATGTTCCGCTGCGCGTCATATTTTTAACTCTCTTCTTCGTGTTTGGAAATGTGGTCAAACACAGTCTTTCCTGTTTAATATATTACTTAGAAAAGTGTAATTCCAGTGAGGGACCTTTTCTGATGCAAGTGTTTGAAGTCCCTTATACTCGCCAAGTTTGATACAGCAAGTTAAAAAAAATTACTTCGTGCCTGTTGTTTACTGTAAAAAAATAAATACTTACGTTGGGGACCCCCCTTGAATACATGGTTGTCATGTTTCTGTGTACTTTAACTTGTCCACAAAGTAGAACAGGGTATAATTTCATGTGCAACCTCTTTTTAAAAATCTGGATTCTGACACCACTCATGTGGAATTGCCCTTTTACCATTATCCAGTAAAAATGTCCTAACATTAGATCTCCTAATTTCTCTGACGTATATTTGAGGTCAGCTAGTTGACCTGTAAATATAGGCAAGAAAAGAAAACTGCTAGGAAGAGGTTCATTTTTAGCATTTGTAGCGTCAATGTAAAGTTCTGTAAACCTTGCTAGGTTCTTTCCATTTCTTCAGGATTCAGCCGCATTTAAGGGAGTGATCTGGGTAAAAAAATTCTTCAATTCTTATTTTGAGTCGAAGAAAATTGTCATTATGAAGAAAAGTCAGGGAAAATTAAATTAATAACACCGCTGATTAATATTTTTGAAGCCTGGAAGAAACATCGCAGGGCACTCTGATCAATCTCAATGATACTGTTCTTTTAAAAACTGCTGTCTGGTGGCAACCATGTTCTTGTACTTTTAGTATCGTACTCTAGATCTGATCCCTGAACCTCGTGGGAGGCGCAGCGGCTCAGTGGTTAGCGTGCTGGAGTCTGGGCTATTGATTTGTGTTCTTGGGTAGGA